ACAGCCATTACCATTAGAGGCTCGGCCGCGCCAGGCAGACCTCCCCGTCCCCGGCAGCATGGGGCTGTGGAGCTGGGGAGCTCGGCAGGGAGAGATGGGGGGGTGGGATCATGCCCTGTTCTCAGTTGCCCCCTTTTAGATTTGGAGAGTGGTGGGGGGGGGTGAGGGGTGCTTGCAGGGTAGCTGGGTTGGTTCCCTGATGTGGGTGGCTGGAGGAGAGAAGCCACCTAAATTTAGGGTGAGGAGGGATCCATGATCCTTGGAATGGATGTGGATACTTAAAGCAGGGTGTGAATGGAAAGAAAAACCATGGGCTCTCCTCCTGGCAGGGACCATGCCCCCCTCTTTCCTTTGCAACATGCCACCCACCCCATGAACATCCTTAGCCCTGTGCCCAGCCTGTGCCTGGCCTCCCCTCTCCCTGCAGAGAGGAGTCTGGGGCTGGGGCCCCAGGGCAGCTATGACCATGGATGAGGGTCCCACTGGGCAGGGGCAGGGAAAGGGGGCCCTCCTTGCCACTCCTTGGTTCCCCACCTTTGTCTACAAAGCCTTCCTTTCCTCCATCCCTCCTATACCTCCTGCTGATGGTTGCTTCCTCCAGACCTCAAGAGAAGCTTTGGTCTGGAGAGCAGATGCTCTTCATGGGTCAGCTCCTGCCCAGGATAGGGCTTTGGGGTTGGGGGTACCAGGGGCAGGTGTGGGGGGCACTGCCAGCCCTCAGGGCAAGGCCAGAGCCTGGAGGCAGCAGAGCCTGGCCCCTGTAACTCTGCCCTCTCCCCAGTGCCCAAGGACCACTCCACAGAGCAGGATGGTCCCTGACACCCTGCACACAAGCCTGTGTCCTGCTGGTCACATCCAAGTTTAATGCTCCAGTTTTGCTGTGGCTTTAGCCCCTCACACGCAGGGCTTGGTGGGACACCCTCCATGGGTGGGGACATCCCCAGGGACAAGGCTGGGTGGGAGGTGGAGCAGCAGGAGGGATGATAGCAGGGTTGGGAGCCCCGGGCACCGAGGGGCAGCCCTGCGTCTCTCCCCCAAGGTTCAAGGAGCCCCCATCCTCCAGAGCAGGACTTTGGCCCAGTGGATGCAGAAGAGCTGGGCATGCTGGGCTCTGCGCTGGCTGGGGGGAGGGACTGGTCTTCAATAAAACAGAGAGGTGCTGTGACCTGTGTCCTCTTGCGTCTGCAGGGGGCTGGCGAGAGGGGAAAACACCCAGCAAATCCCCTCCCATCTGAGCCAGAGCACCTGCAGGGCTGGGGTGGGGAGAATGTGGCACCCTGCTGCATCACCTTTTCTCCAGGCATCGCCTCTAGCTCTTACAGCCCCCAAGGGCAGAGCTGGAAGCTTCTGGGCTTCTTGAGACACCCCTCCAGGGAAGCCACATATCCTGTTCCTAGGCTGGCAAGGGGATGTGGCAGCCGGAAGCAAAGAGGAAATGCTGTTGGCCTGGTGGGATGTCTGCCACCCTGCCATCATCCAGGGGAATCTGGGATGCCACGAGCCAGATCTCTCATGACCCACAAAGCCCTGTGCAACCAGCTCGGCGCAATGCCCTGGGCCCATCATGGCCTGATCCTGCAGCGGGTGTCCTAGGAGTGGGGAGGTCCTGAGCCATGGGGCCAGGCTCATGTGTGACATTGATGCGGGGGTGAGTGGGGAAGCACTGCTTGCCCAGCTTCAGGAACATGTCCACGGATCCACTGGTGCCCGTGGTGGCTGGGGGGGGGTCA